TGTGGTTTTCTCAAAAAAAAAATCTGCTTGATTAGTACTCCAGTGATTATTAAGCCGAGAAGGGTTCGGTGAGAAACAGCGACAATTGAGTTGAGGTTGAGGCAGGATTTTTTTTTCCTAAGCCTGCAGCCTGCACACAGCATCAGCAAGGACGAGTGCACGACACGTCAACCAAGCCAAATGCCAAAAGCACTGGATCTTTCTGCGGTGTCTACTACTCAGAGCTTCCCAGCTCGATCGTCGTGAGTCGCAAAAAAAAAAAAAAAGGCTCGATCGTCATCAAACCCAGCCCCATCGACGGAATAAGCGACACGCCTCTGTTCGATTTCCTGCGACATTGCGGCTACGCTTTTTTCTGTGGTGTTGCATCGTTCCTTTTTCTCCAAGCTATAATATATCTATGCTCTGTTTGTTTGGCTGATAAGCCATAACTGAAAGTATTGTTGGCTGATTTATTGTTAGAGAAAAATACTATTCATTAACTGAAAAAGTACGGCTTATAAGCCAAACGAACAGGACGCTAATTGCTTTTAATCTGGCTTGCACAAGTCAGTCAGCACAAGCAAAATAACATGGTTGACTCCTGAGTCCTGATCCCAGAAACTTCCCTGCCCCTTCCTACAAACACTAGATACATAAGGCCATAAGCAAACTCGAAATCCAGGGTTTGGCTACCGCTTACAAGCGCGAAAGGCTACGCCTGCTGGCACCTGAATTTTCTGACCTTCTGATGAGAGATCAACAGCTCCTATTTGTCTTTGGCTAGGAAGAGAAAAATCGAGTGCCAGAATATTTTTTTTTTCACCCGAGTTGTATCAGAAGCACAAAGGTCGGTTTTAATTGCTGTCAACTTATGATGTATTTGCCTGATTCTTACATCACCTTTTAATCTGGATGTGGAACTTCTTAAAGCATCCAATTTTTTTTATACTAACACATGACTTGGATGCATGAGGCGTGCTGACCTTCACGACCCAACGTTGTGCCAAGGAAAAGTCATTTGCCTGGAACAAACTCGACTCCAGCTAGACTCCTTCAGGGCTCGTTCGGTTTAGCTCAAATCAGGCTAGGAATAATTCTGGTTGACAAAACTTATTCAAATTAGACGACGAATCCAAGCTGGAATATTTCTAGGGAGTCGTTCCCCTTCAACCGAACGTGGCCTCAAGCGGCTCATTCGGCTCTCAAGCTCACGTCCGGGAACAAAGCCATGGACACGTGTCAGATAACTGAGCCATGTATGCAGGGCACCACACTGGATACCGTTTCCACGCAATTTTTTTCCTGAGTGACCAGGGAAACCAATTACGTCGAGACTCGAAAGGCGTAGCTAAGTGGCGATCCTGATCCGTGCGGGGCACGAACCAGAACCACCCTAGTATTTTGGACCAAGGTATAGTAAATGTTTCAGTAGCATGCTATGTTAAGCAAATTTCTCTGTTTATTGCTCATTTTTTTAGAGTTCAAGGGCATTATGCCCCGGCCTTTCAATTAACATCAAAAGACCAAGAGTTATTACAGCATTGGGTTCAAAGCCCCAAGTTCGTCCACCAGGACTGAAACCAGAAAAGATACAGCGAGCACTGTTTTAACAGAAAAACAGCTAGTGACTAGCCCAACTTGCAGACAAGATATCACAGCTTCAAACTAGGTTCAGCGAGCTCCACTGGGCACCTTCTTCGGACCCTGATCAGACCATGAGTCTTCAGCCATCATGACATTCCAGGACCGGTCTTCACCATCACATCTGTGGAACTTCAGGTGTTGGGGGAAGCAGTCCCGGCACAGCTCCTACCGCAGCGCTCGACCCTTTCGTTGGCCCCGACGACTAGCCTCGCAGCGAACCGCAACCTTCGTCGCGAGGGTTCTTAGTTCACCTTGTGTTCCTTGTTTTCAGGAGACACAAGCGAAGGATCATCGTTTTCAACTGGGAGGCTGCCGCAAGTGGAGCGCTATCCTTCGGTGGACAGCGAGCCTTCGTCCGGGGTTCGACGGAGCTATGCACAAGTCACAGCAGGGGGCCAGCCTGGAGACGGCGACAGGTACGCCCGGTTGATTAGGGTTTGGAGTAGTTGGCCAAGGGAGGGAGAATACTGCCGTACCCTTGGCCGTAGTGCCGTGATCGTGTTGTAAGAACTAACCCTAGCGTTATTTCACCGCGACCCTGGGTATGGCCTATAAATACTCGAGGCGCTCGTGTAAGAAATAGAGTTCTTTTTCCGGACAATTTAAGGAGCATTTAATCCGCATTTACGCTTTGTCTTGAGCTCGGGAACCCTCGCCTTCTCGTTCGTGTCTTCTCGACCGAATTCCTGTGGGAAACCCTCGGCCTCTCCCCGCGTGATCCTCATCGAGGATGAGAGGCCAGGAGTGACCCCACATCAGGTGATGTCTTGGGTCACATACGGCAACCAGAGAGTCTTCCTTGTCTCAGCCTTGATCTTCTTTGATGTAAGCCACCAGCAAATCCTTCTTGTCGGATGGGCACAGTACCACCCAATTCAGCAAGAGACCAGTAATCCTGAAACAGAGCATTTCAATGCTTCTCCAGCCAATCATCTGAAAACAAAGATCATTTCTAAGTTTCCAAATAGACCAAATGGTAGCTGAAGTTATCATATTCAAGATACAAAATTTCTTATTGCTTAACCAGTACTTTCCTATATCTATCATATTTCCCCCTACTTGGTAACCTAAAAGATCTGAAAGAATTCCCCAACATTGATTAGCTACCACACAGTCAAAGAAAACATGCTGAATTGTCTCTTTTTCTTCACAAACCAAGCAACTCTCATCTTCAACTTTCCTTCTTTTAGCTAGGTTATCTCTAGTTAAAGCTCTATTATTAATCACTAGCCATAAAAAGAAATGCACTCGGGGAGGGATTTTAAGACTCCAAACAGCTGAAACATGCACAGTTTTAATACCCCTAAAATTTATAACTAGAGTGACTGAGAAGAATAGATACCATTTGAACTAGTGCCAGACCATATCCTCCTCCTCATTAGTTAACTGAATGGTTGCTACAAGCTCTACTATCTCCAGCCAAGTCTGATACATCTCGCTAGAAAAATTTCTTCTGAAGGTGCATTTCAAATTTACCCCATCCCATAACTCAGCTACAGTTGTCCCTTTCTCCTTAACAATTCGGTATATAGGTCAGACTTGAAGATCCCAACCAATTGTCCTCCCACAGCCTAACTTTCTGACCATTCCCTATCCTCCACCTATAGCCCATCTTAGCAGCTTGAGCTGCCCACATAAAACCTCTAAAAAAGCTTGAAGCACCTACTGTATTAGAACTAAAAATGTTAGGATTAGTAGTATCATACTTATAATCTATAAGCTCTTTCCAGAGCTTGTCTTTATCTACTTTATATCTTTTTAACCAGGAGGCCATCAAACTAATGTTAAGATCCCTAAGATTTGGAAGACCCAACCCCCCATAATCTTTACACATAGAAACTAACTCCCAATTAGCTAAGTGGTACTTGTGACTTTCTACAGAGTCATTCCAAAGATAATTGCTCATATGGGTGTTAATGATCTTGACGGCCCATTTAGGAAATTTAATAAAGGATAGAAGGTACACTGGTATACTTGCTAGGCAAGTCTTAATCAACATGGCCCTAGCTGCTAAAGAGAGAAGCCTCCCTCTCCAACCTGCAATTTTCTTCAAAATTTTATCAACCAAAGGTTGTATATCTTCTCTAGTCGAATTATCATAGTGAAGAGGCACCCTTAGATATTTAATAGGGAAAGATCCTAGTAGGCAGGAGAAGATATGAGCTAACCTATGTGCCTCATTCTGTTCTAAATTTAAGGGAACTAACTCACTCTTTTGGAAGTTAATTCTCATCCTAGAGATCTGCTCATACCACATTGGCATGCATTTCAGATTTGTTAGGACAGATTCCTCTGCCTTAGCAAAAAGAATAGTATCATCAGCGTACTGTAAAGAAACTATGCCTCTAGGCCTAAAACCCTCTAACAGACCTTTAACTAACCCTTTATTAGTTGCTTTAACCAACATCTTAGAAAGTCCATCACCAACTAAATTAAACAAGAAAGGGGATAAAGGATCCCCTTGTCTAAGTCCTTTACCGGTCTTAAAAAAGCACTATCTTCCCCATTCAACATTATGGATATTGATCCACCTACCACAATCTGCTTAATCCAACTAATCAGCAAAGGGTTAAAATTTCTAGATTGGAGCATGTCAAAGAGAAAAATCCAGCTAACTCTATCATATGCTTTTTTCATAATCAAGTTTAAGGACAACTCCTTGTTCCCTAGACTTGTTAATGCTATGAACAATCTCATGGGCAACAACAACGCTTTCCAAGATATATCTACTTTTAATAAAGGCAGACTGGGTAGGAGCAATAATTCTTTGGACTATAGAGCTAAGCCTAAGAGTTAAGATTTTGAAAAAAAAATAAAACTACAATTAAGAAGACTAATTGGCCTAAAATGTTTCATATTGGTGGCTTCCCCAACTTTTGGGATTAAGGTAACTAAAGCACAGTTAAGTCTATAAAGGTCTAGTTTTCCTTTATGAAAGTCTTCAAAGAAATCTACTAAATCCTTTTTTAACTAAATCCCAAAACTTCTGGTAAAAAAGAAAAGGGAGACCATCAGGGCCAGGGGCCCCTTCTGGGTAACAACTAACGATGGCCTCTTTTAATCTCATCCTCTGAAAAAGGAGGTATTAAAGAGCTATTTTCTTCAAGGGTAACTTTGTCTTGTTCATCCCAAAAGTTAGCACTAAGTTTAACACTAACATCATCTTCTTTATCAAACAACTTTTTGTAGAATTCTACTGCTATTTGCATCATTCCTTTTTGATCATACACTAAACCTGTTGGACCTTCAAGGCAATCTACTTTTTTCTTTCTACTCCTCTGGTTTGCTATAGCCTGGAAGTATGCAGTATTCCTATCTCCTTCCATGAGGTCTCTATCTATAGACCTTTGTCTTGCTTTGATCTCCTCTAAATTCTAGATATGTTCTAACTCCTTTTCTACAGCTCTGAACTCATTGAGTTCCTCTGAATTAAGCTCTGTAGATTCAGATAGAATTTCTAATTTACTGTACTTATCCACCAGCACAACCTTAGTTTTGTTCATAGCAGCAACCTCATTGGCTGCCCATCCCCTCACCATCCTTCTAAGGGTTCTGATTTTAAATGGCCACCTATCCATACTATTAGCTAGCCTACAAGGTGTATTCCAAGACTTTTTCACCATATCTTTAAAAGAGTCCTTCTCCAACCACCATTTTTCAAATCTAAACCTCTTCTTCCCAAAATTAGCATTCTCCCCCGAGTTAATAATTAGGGGGTTGCGGTCACTGGGTAATCTCTCTAAAGCTTTCACACTAACTAATGGAAAAGCAGCTTCCCAAGTTGTTGTGACAAAAATCCTATCTATCTTAGCCAAAACTGGAAAATCCTGGTTGTTGGTCCAGGTATATTTCTTATTACTAGCACTCAATTCAATCAAAGCCCATTTATCTACCCACTCATTAAAACTATCAGCCCATCTGTGATTGATTATCCCATTATTTTTATCACTCAGAAATCTGACTAGGTTAAAATCTCCTCCAATAAGAATTGGACCTTGCCAACTATTCATCACTAAATCTAACTCATCTAAAAAGGTTTGCCTCTGTTCATCATAGGCAGGGCCATACACCACTATTAACTTCCAAGAGAACCTAGTTTTCTTACATGTCATAATTACACTAACTGAGTAGTTCAACATCTCTCCTATAGCCATATTAAAAAGATCTGTGTCTGCACCCATCAGGATACCTCCTGCTGAGCCATTTGCTTCTAAATGAATCCAATCAAAAGAGATATTATGTGTCAGGGATTTTAAAAACCCAGATGACAAATTGTTCTTCTTGGTTTCCATAATGCCAACAAAATCAAGATGATGATCTCTAATTCTACTCCTTAAAGCAGGTAATCTATCAATTTTCCCTAAGCCTCTAATGTTCCAAAACATACCTATCATTTTCCTTTTTTCTTGTTTTTCTTCCTATTTTTTACTTTAGACCAACCCATTTCCTGGTCAGTTTTCTGAATGTTAGGGTTTCCATCCTGGCAGTTCTTTACAGGAGACTGAGAAATTGTACTACTAGATAGGTAATCTCAGTCTTATCCGTTTGTCCTAAAGAGATAGTATTATTACAACCTTGAAGACTACAATTAAGCTTACTAGTAGCAGTCCTACTGCATTCAAGCTCTACCATAGTCTCTACATAATAAGGATTTCCATCTAGAAAATCTAAGCCAATATCCTTGGCAACAGAAATTAAAAGAGGTTTTGAGATTTTTGAGTTTTTTGCTATTTTACCTGTCTTGTCATCAAGATTTCATTTTCTTTTCACTTCTTGAGCTTTCTCCACCATCATCTTCCCATTCTCCACATTTCTGGAACTTCTCCTTAATGGTATAACAGGTCCCCATTGATTCTTCTTACTACCTCACCCCACTTTCTGCAGATTTACCTCAGGCACCTATTTTTCTAGGATATCTCTGGTAGGCTGTGTATTGTTCATGTCCTCTTCTCCTACATTCATCAACTTTTTAGATACCTGATTAGATTGGGCTTCTTCAATGTTGGATGTCAGATCAGGATCCCTTTCCATAACAGTATCACTGAGATTTGTTCTGATATTCCTCTTTCTTTCTTCAGCAAGATCAAAAACCCATTCTTCTGGTAATTGGCAAGTTTCATCATCCTCTTGAGAAAATGGATCAGAGTTAATCTCTAAGTATTCCACCATCACATCATCATCTAGCTCCATTGCTTTCAAAAGCTTAGCACATTCTAGAGTCCTTTCTTGGTAGCCATTCTCTGTGTCTTCAAACTATAGAGCCCTTTTCACATTCCTGCTCCCCACAGGAGCACTCTTGCTCCCCTGAGACTTTGTAGCAAATTGGGTTTGCTCCTTATCCTTGTCATCATCACTAGGACCATTATCATCCCCATTTTCAGGGTGTGGAATATCATCCTCTAAATGCTCTTCTCCCTTCTTCTCAGCACCTCCCCCTTTATTAGATCCACCATCAGTATTGTTATCAACTTGCTCATAGCCCTCAAGTGTGAACATGATCAGATGTATCTTGTCTTTGAAGACAAATAGCCTCTCCTTTGGGATCTTTGTGGGGTCTTTACACAGGACCTTCGCCCTCACTGTGCTGAAAAAGCTGTTGAACAGAGCTTGCCAATCCACTTCTATCAACCTTCCCAGGCCTAAAGCCACTTCACTCATGGTTTTCCAGTCTACCCATTTTGGTGGTATTCCTTGGATCAGGACCCAAACCTCAGTCAGACTTCCTGTTGGTTCAATCTCCCCATTCCACACACTAAGAGAGCCAACAACACTAGGTCTGTTTAGGTAAAAAACTGAAGCCTCGCCAATCACCAAGTTCTCAACCTTTCTATCTGGAGGGAATCTCACTATGTATCAGTACTCATAAGATTTCTTCAACTACCATGCCCAGTCCTTATCAAACAACTCCCTAAGGTTTTTCAGAATACCTTCCTCATCAATCTCACCTTTCTCAATAGTAATCACACCAAAATTATCTAGCCTAACCCAGTGCTTGAACCTATCTTCTGAATCTTCCACATCAATGTAATAAAAACCTAAACCCTTGTTGGCGCTGCCAAAATACTGTGCAGATTTTGCTGGCTTTTTCCATTCAGGGCAGAGATCCACCACATGCTTAGAACTATAACAGATAAAGCAAACTTTCGGCCTATTGCAAGAAGAATGAAGATGCCCAATTTGCCCACAATTGAAACACACGACATGTAGATTGTCGCCTTTAGACTTCCCATCCATACCTTTCTCGGCAGTGGGTTGAACCTCTTCTTCAGTTGTAGGGATTTCTTCTCTAGCCGGTTCATTGTTCACTTGCACTTGATTTGGAAGTTGGTTCTGAGTCTGCCTGGGGATTTGTTGTTGTCTCCCCCGACCTCTTCCTTGGAAGCCACCCCTGGGGCGCGCTCCTTCGAACTGCCTGTTGAAACCCGCTTGCTGATGAACAGGGAGCGGAGGTGGAGGTTGGTTGGGGCAGAATCCATAAGGCGGCGGCGACGGATTGTGGAACGGCTGCGGCGGGGGTGGGAATTGCTGGAATTGGTTCCAACTTCCACCGTCCCACCTCCCCCAATCCTCCTACGCCCTTAGCCTGGGGCCTCTCCCCCTTCCTCGTCCCGCCATCGCTTCCTTCACCACTTGAGCAAAACTCTTCTTCTTCTCGTCACCCCCGACCAACTCCTCAAAGCGCAGCTTGGACGGGGGCTCACTCTAGGAACCCCCCTCACCAACGGGATAGCAATCAGGGGGTTTGAAGGATTTTTCTCTCCATGGGTCTCTCCGAATCTACACCAAATTTTCCCGGTGTCTCACCCTAACCCTAGATCGAGGAGAGGTGAGCTGCGAGTTGGGGATATACCACAGTTGCCCCCAGAAACTCTAGATTTCATCCTCTTCGCCCAACAGGTTGTAGGGTTTGGATCCCACATCGATCTGCTTGTGGACCCGCAATTGTTGAGAGCTTGCCACCTGCTCGCTCCTCGACGCTCCACGTCGTTCCCAACTTGATAGGAGGCTTGCAGGCGGGACCTGACGTGCAAAAGCACCTCTGGACCGAGGTGGGGAGCCACGCTCACGAGTGGGTGAGTCCGGGGCCCTTCTCGAAGGCGACGAGGGGGCGCCGCCCCGAGTCGCCGTGGGGTCGCCCGAGCGCCCGGTTCTCTCTCCCCGTGTCTATCATCCCAGTCCTCTATTTTCCAAGACAACCCACAGACATGTCACCTGAAATCACGTGTGGTAAGTCTATTGCTCATTTAATCTGTGCGTATTATGTTTCAGTACGTCGTATTATTGAGCAAATATATTTTGAGTTGGATCATCCTAGTTAAAAAACTTCCAACGTCAGTGATCGCGTCCCTAGCCGCGCGGCGACCGTTCTCGCGCACAAGTACAGAAGTGGGCGCTTGGAATTCTCGGCACCATCACACAAGTCATCGGCCTCTCGGCATGGACACAAAACATTTTTTTTCTAACACGCGCCGGCGTTGACCACGTCACTACCTACAAACGCTAACGTATCCTACACTCCATTGCAGACAAGAATCACTTATCCCTCCGCGTCCTGCCAAGTTCTTGATTACAAAACTTCTAGTTGGCCTTGGCCCGTGCGGCCGTTCGGGCCCATCCATGTCGAGCCCTCCGCCGCCGGTGCCCGACGGCGGCGGGCCGATCCCGTTCATGAACCGGCAGCAGCAGCCGCAGCATCCGGACTACAGCTTCAGCGGCCACGTCCTGCTCGCGGCCGTCGTCATCCTCGCCATGCTCACCGTCGTCTTCGTCCTCATCCGCCTGCTGCTCTACCAGTTCGTGGCGCGCGGCCGGGGCAGCCGGGCCCTGGGCGTCCGCCGCTCCTTCGGCTCCTTCGGCAGGAGGAGCGCCCGCCACGGGCTCGACGCGTCCGCGCTCGCCGCGCTGCCAGTCACCACGTACCGCGTCCGCTGGGCCGACGACGGCGGCGGCGACGGGCCTAGCTCCGTCTCCGGCAGCGCCGGGACCGGGACGTCGGCGGCGGCCGCGGACTGCGCGGTGTGCCTGTCGGAGCTCGCGGACGGCGAGAAGGTGCGGGCGCTGCCAGACTGCGGCCACGTCTTCCACGTCGACTGCGTCGACGCGTGGCTGCGGTCCCGGACCACGTGCCCGGTGTGCCGGGCCGAGGTGCGGCCCAAGGCGACGGCGGGGGCGGACGCGCGCCCGTCGCCGCCTCCGGCGTTGATCGGTGCGGCGGGGGGGACGTTGGTCGTGACTGTGGAAGGCGCCGCCGTGGGGACCGGGGACGCGCGCCGCACGTCCGTGGTGGGCTTCGGTCAACCGTCCAGTGCCGTAGGGTAGAATCGGCGAAAACGACGTTGCGACTGATTAGCCCTTGTTTAGTGTATTATATATACGAATCAAATACATGTAATGTAATTAGAATCATTGTGTACTACTTTATATTGTGTGAAGATGCATGATACCTTGTTAAAGCATCTCCACCAAAATTAATTATCCATCGTCTTCGAAAATTCTATATGGGTGATATCCTATTATTGACAGTGTGGTTTTTTCCTTTTCTCATCCAAGAGATTACCAATATTTTAAAGTGGGTATTAAGTGGGATTGGATTTCCTGCATTTAAGAGAGGGATGGGTGGAATTTGAGTAATTACTAAAACTTTTTAGGTATTGAAGAATATGGTTAATCTGTTCGAGCAACCGCAATTGTTTATATTGCATTTTTTTGTATTAGGATGAGATAAATAATATTTTGGAGCTACCACAATCCCTTATACTGTTTTTTTTGTGTTAGGATGAGATAAATAATCTGTTGGAGGTGCTCTTAAATTTCTCTATAATAACTTTGTGCTTACTCTTCACATATTACTGGGTAGCGTGCCCGTGCGTTGCTACGGGATAACTAACAATTTATACTAAAAACACACGGATCGCACGATAAGATAACAATACTGTAAAAATTAAATACCAACGTTAAAGTGACATTTAATCCAAAACGCAAAGTTTATGAATTTAACACAGTCACGGAGTGCGCGGCGTCGCAGGCTCACAAACTCTACTTTATAGACCTTTCCGTGATGCGACTAAGATAATATTTTATATTGACAGGAAGAAATCTTCGATATCCATTTCTTTCATTGTAATCCATTTATCTGGACAATGTTTGAGGTGAGGGTACGGTTACAGTTTTTAGTACCTTTGCGATATTGTCTGAAGCTATGAGATGATTGATGTCCTGCAATGATCATTTCATTAATTTAGCTTTCTATCTATGTTTAATTGTTTATTCAGTCTATTTTATAGGCACGCCGGTAGATAATGGATGATAAAATTCAAGCATCCATAATTTATCTCTTTGACTTTGAGCATGAGTTTTGTTTTTATTTTTTAATTGATATATTGTCCTTTTATTTTTACCGTAGCATTAGCACGGGCATGCATGAAAAACGAAGATGCCTTTACACTGCAAAAATCTTTCAAAAAGATCATGCATAGATTATTCTTGTATTGAATATTATATATATATACAATCACCTAAATATTCTAATTAAACTACAAAATTTTGAATTAGGATACGAGGTAAGACATGCAAACAGATATTTCAAAAGTACCTGTAGAGTCCAAAGAACTTAATAAATAAAATCCTTCTGGAGGCAATGCAAATTCTCTCTAATCTTTCATTTGGTGTAGTTAGTGTTATCATAGTACCCACATGTATTCATAGGAAATAAATCGTGGACAAAACATGGACACTCTTTGGTGCGACATTCCAACATGGGTCCATCGTTCTACCAATATCCTTGAGGCAGATCATATAAAGGATGAGAGTCTCTGTACGAGATTGCTCACAAGAGACTCAAACTTATATCTGATCATGGTAATATTGAATTACTTTACATCAAAAGCATCGACAATGATAAAACGGGGGCATATATTTTAGTATGCATAGTGGAGAAAAACTCAACCTTGGCCTTCTCAGCAGCTTTTCTGAGCCTTTACAGTGCTTACTTGTCCTTACTCAGATAGTCAAGAGGTGCACCATAAAATTATGCACCACTAAGAAAAGTGTCACAGTTGGTTACCTTGACCTGAAAAATGTGTCAAAATTAAGAATTACAACACCTAATTCAACATCTTAGAACAGACACTCAAGTGGATACCTTATTCTACAATATATGTCTGTGTGGAATAGTACTAAAGCCACACATATTTATACGATGAGTATAACATACTTTGTTTTAAAATTTTATGAGAGGTTTTTTAAGACACGTAGTATTATCCATGTGACAGGCACTAATATTTACATATATACTCGAACCTATGTGTACATGATTATATGAAGATGCAGCGGAACTTATTCATGGATTTATTGTCGCATAAAAAAATGGATATCAGAGAATTCTTTCTGCCGAAATAAAATATTATCTTAGCCATATCACGAAAAAGTCTATACACTAGAGTTTGTGAGCCTGCGACGCCGTGCTCTCCGTGACTGTGTTAATTTCATGAACTTTGCTTTTTGAATTAAATGTCACTTTAACGTCGGTATATAATTTAACAGTATTGTTATCTTATCGTGCGATCCGTGTGTTTTTAGTATAAAAGATTTAGTTGTCCCGTAGCAACGTACGGGCACGCTAACTAATTGAATATAAAAGGAGTGAACTGGCTGCATTCGTACATATAATGTACGTCAGTTAAGGTTTTGTTTGAATTAACTCAGTTCACGAACTAATAGTAATAATTAAATGTGGCATATATCGAATTCTTTTAGCCACTGCTTGTGTGCAGAAGCGAAAAACATCCCAACCGCGCTTGCCCTAATATGAGTATTTGAAGTAATAAACTTTTGAAGAACATCAATGTACCTCCTTTCCAGAGATTGGGTCAAATCCAACCTAGAGCCTCGGAACCCTGCATCTTTTCCAGGATGGGCTTCACTTCGGATGCGCCTGTAGCAATATCAACGATCTCCAATCGATGGACCAAGTCGTATGGATCCCCATACAATGGCCAGACATGTAGATTTTATTCTCCTTGTACTTGGATACACTTATTTCATTAAAGCTTTCATTGAAATGTCTAGACACGAACAGTGTCTAATCACTGATGTCCCTCACCCTGGACCACTTCGGTGTACGGTCGTGGAGGTTGCACTTGTAGATCGCGCTACTGTAGGTGAAGCTCTGTGTCTCGTGGAATGTGCTCACCATGGCACCCACAATGTGCAGCTCACCGTGTGATTCCAGGTAG